CTGTTTTAGGCCATACAAGGCCTTCCTTAACATATACACCTTTCCCTCTTGTCCTTGGATCACATATCCTTCAGGTTGTTCGATGTAGATCTCCTCATTCAACCAGCCATTCAAGAAGGCAGATTTTACATCCAATGGGTGAACCTTCCAGGAGAATTGGGCAGCCACTACAAGCAGCAGCCTAATGGTGTCATGCCGTGCAACAGGAGCAAATGTCTCTAGGAAATCCACTCCATATTGCTGAGCAAATCCCTTAACTACAAGCCTGGCCTTATGCTTCAGAATTGAACCATCTGGATTTAGTTTTTTTTTTTAAATCCACTTCACTTGGATAACTTTTCTATTTTTTGGTCTATCCACCAGCTTCCAGGTTTGGTTTTTTTCAATCATGGCCAACTCCTCCTTCATGGCACTCCTCCAGGATTCTGATTGTGCAGCCTCTAAATAGCTTGTAGGTTCCATTTGAGCTAAGTTGCACCTGTCATACACATTAGCAAGTGTTCTGGTTACCCTGACAGCAACTTCTTCTTCTGATTCCTCCCTTGAGTCTTCTTCAGTTTGTTCAGGTTGAACCTCACTCAGTTGAGGTTGAGCATCTACATCAGCTCTACCCTTTTCCCAATTCCAGACTCTTCTTTCATCAACCTTAACATCCTTGGACACCACAACTTTTCTAGAGTCAGGAATATAGAGTCTGTAGGCCTTGGATTGGCTGCTGTAGCCAATGAAAATTCCTATCACAGCCTTATCCCCCAGCTTAGCCCTCTTAGCAGGTGGCACTAGGACATAGCAAAGGCTTCCAAAAATTTTCAGTTCATCCACTGTTGGTTTGATTCCAGTCCAAGCTTCAAAAGGTGTTTGGTTTTTTAAGGCTTTAGTGGGAATCCTATTAAGTAGGTAGACACTTGTGTTTGCTGCTTCTGCCCAAAATGGTTTGGGAAGATTTTTCTCAGCCATTAAGCATCTTACCATTTCCATGACTGTCCTATTTTTCCTCTCACAAACTCCATTCTGTTGTGGAGTGTATGGGCTGCTGTATTCATGTCTTATTCCAGCTTCAGTGCAGATTTTTTCAAACTCTTGAGAAGTGTATTCAGTGCCATTATCACTTCTCAAGGTTTTGATTATTTTTTCTGTCAAATTCTCTACTTCAAGTTTGAATTTCCTGAATGTTCCAGCCACCTCATTTTTCTGTTTTAGGAAGTAAATCCACCCCATCCTAGACCAATCATCTATGAACAATACAAAGTATTTGCTCCCATTAAGTGATAAGGTTTGCATAGGCCCACATACATCCGAGTGAACAAGCTGGAGTTTTTCAGAGGCTCTCCAAGCTTGGTTCATTGGGAATGGTTTCCTACTCATTTTGCCTAGTTGACACACTTTGCACACACCTCTCGGCTGCTCAACAATAGGCAGATTCTGGACTAAATTTTTGGACTGCATTTTAGTCAAATTTCTATAGTGTACATGGCCTAATCTTTTATGCCACATTTCAGTTTCATCCTCTCTAACATTGCATGCTGTGTGTGGTGTAGCTTTCCACATTATTGGAAAGTTTTTCCCAACCATTTTCACTCTCAAAACCTCATTACCCTCACTGTCTTGAATAATGCAGGCTTGTTTTTGAAAATGCAGTGCATAATTCCTTTCCAACATTTGCCCCACACTCAAAAGACTTTGACTTATATTGGGTGCATAGTACATTTGAGATTAGTTTTGTACCTTTTGGAGTTTGGATTGCAACATCTCCTTTGCCTCTTGCTTCCACACACTCTTCATTCCCAACCTTGATCTTTGACCGATGAGAGTAATCTATGTTCACAAAGCTACTCAGATCAGGTGTCATGTGATGTGTGCACCCACTGTCAATCAGCCATGTATCATCACAGGTTTGGATCAAGTTGGATGAGGCCATAAACAGCTGCTCTGTCTCCTGCACTGGCTGTTGTTCATCAGCAGTTTGAGCTTGCTGTTGGGACTGCTCTCCTTTGTTTCTGCATACTCTTTCAATATGCCCAAACTGTTTGTAGGCCCTACACTGTATACCAGGTCTGAACAAGCATTTGTCCTCTGCATGTCCCTTTCTTTTGCAATGAGAACAGGCTGGAAAATTTCGCATCCCACTAGCTTTGTTCCATTGGTTGTTGGACTTTTCTTTTCCTCTTTTTTCTCCAGCAGACTTCCTATAATTCCCTTGCATAGGTTTGCCTTTGTAGGTTGCCAGCATTGCCCCTTCATTCGCATCTTCAAGCCTTAGGACCCTTCTTTGCTCTTGTGCCTGCATAGCATGGACCAGCTCAGTCAATGTGATCTAAGTTAGGTCCTTTGAGTCCTCCAAGGATGAAATCTTGGCTTCAAACCTTTCCGGCAAGCTCACCATTACCTTCTCTACTATTCTGCTGTCTAACATCTCCACTCCAAGTAATCTGATTTTGTTGACAATGCTCATCAACCTGTCAACATATTCTTTCACTTTCTCAGCCTCCTGCATTCTTAAAGATTCAAACTCCCTTCTTAAATTCAGAACCTGCATGTTTCTTGTAGTGCTACTTCCCATGAACTCTTCTCTCAACTTGTCCCATGATTCCTTGGCTATTTCGCATGCCATGATCCTTGTAAAAACAAGGTCTGTGACAGCTGAGTGGATATGGGACAGGGCTCTTGGAGCCTTTGATGCTTCCTCTTCATGCATTCGAATTTGGTTGAGAGTGGGATTTGGTCCCAGCTGAGGGAGTTGTCTCTCTTCCTCTACATACTGCCAGAGTCCTTGACCCCTCAGGTAAGCCTTCATTTTGACTGACCAAATATGGTAGTGTTCACCATTGAACACAGGAGGTAGAAGGGAAGCTGTTTGAGTAGTCATTTGTTTGAAAGAAAACAGGTCTGACGCAAGGCAATTTCCAGGAGAGCTGGATGTGTTGTTTGGAAAGAAAATGTTCAGTTTTTGTTCGAATCAACGAAGCTCTGATACCATGTTAGTGTTTATGCGCTGGAGATAACTAAGATGATACGATTGAAGAAAAGTGTCTGAATTTTCTTGAGTTCAAAATGAGTTTACACTTCAACTAATAAAGTTGATATTACACTATTACACCAAACATGCAGACATATAATAACTTGATTTTAATCTGAAGCTACTGACTTAATACCAACTAAACAACAACTATGTAACACATCCCATATAATCCGGGATACATATCAAGCATTGCAAAATAAGTATAACTTTGCAGTATTACAAATGGACCCCTGGCAGATTGCCTTTCAGTTTTACCGCCAAAAAACATATTTGAAACATCAGTTGGACTGCTGCATTTCCAGCCAAGTATCAACCTTCAACAGCAACACTGCATCTCTACCAGCATTTTCCAGAGAATAGAACAATATGACGAAGCTGAACCAATGCAATGCAACACCATTCACAAGAATCTTAAAGGTTTCTTAGAAGCTCAATTCCAATTGGAATATCCTTCTATTGAAAATCCAGTCTGGTAGCTTCTATGTCGAGAATTTCATCTCTATTTGTAATTGTACAGCCAAGGACTCAGGTTTTTCCATAGTAGCAAGGCAAGCTCACAGATCCTTCTCATTTCCATTCATCATCCTAATGCCTGAGATTCTCCAACACTTAGGGTGCAAAGTTCAGTTCAATACTCAAAACGCACTGCTTCAATTAACAGTCCAAGTATCAAAACGTAGCACTTCAAATACCAAACTAATAGAGTGCATAAGGGAACCCTGGACTTCTGTTGGATTATAACGTGATGGATACTGCCGTCTGTAATTAACCCAAACTCACCTTCTTTCACTCACACTCAGCAACTCAGCATGCACAATAACCCATTAACTCAACAACCAAGCAACAAGAAGAATAAAAATGGAACAATCTCAGAAGAAAATAACAGATGGTATTAATATTCAATAGAACAGTAGTTCAACAAGCAAAATAAGCAAATAACAACAGACCCCAAATGCAAAATAACAGCTGGACTTCCAGTCTACACCTCACGTCTCTCATTTTATTACTGACACTCAAATTCTTTATAACTAACCTGCCACCTGTTGCTTTTAGTAATTCCCTTTTCTGCCCCTTCCTCTTTTGCATTGTTGAGACACCACCGGTCCATCATAACGTGAACGTTACCAAACTTAACTGATTTTTGAACAGCTCTCATTTCTTCACTTCATCAGGTCAACAAATGGGAAAGATTCTTCAACGTATCCGCAGCTGTTTGATCTCTGTTCATAGCAATAGATGAAATATAATCAAATTTAATTAATGAAAAGGTAATCCGTAAAAATTTATAATTATATATTGATGCACATATTTAAAGTCACCATCAAACATTGTCGTCGATCTTAATGGTATCGACAGTGTTGTGACCAGTAACTTCATCAACCAGTTTTCAATCTTTATAAGATAAAATAACATTTCTAAATTGGCTTTAAGATCGTTTCTTATCTGGTTAAGAACAGCCATGCAGTCCATACTCATTGACTCAAGTAAGATTCTGGGCTGGGTTTTCAGTGAAAACAAAAATGTTCTAAATAAAATAAATTATTAGAGTTCTTTTAATATTTTTATTTAAACTTTGCATTTATTATGATAATTAGAGTTGCCATTTATAAAATAAAAAATAAAAAAAAATCAGATTTTAGAAGTAAATTAAAAAATTTTACTTTTTTCTATTAAGTGAAAAGTCAGAACACACCCTAAGTCATTGCCATGAAAAAATTATAAGATTTTTACTTTTATAGTTGGACAAAAGATATAAAATTAAGATCACACTAAGTCTTATATAATTTAAATGAAATACCCGTTGTTCACAAATGAGAGGACACGTTACTTCGCTCTACTTTTTCGATAAATTGCTCAAAATAATCAGGCGAGAGAGACAAGAGATACTTAGTAGTTTCATAAGATATTCCTCCTTCCATTTTGAAAAAGACACCGACATCCGGTATATGTTGGGTAACTTTCTTCCACTTCTCATCTTTTATCATATAATAAATTTCTTCCAACATAAGATAAAACTTAGGTTTCTTAGATGTTCAATTCCAATTGGAATCTCTTTCAATAGAGGGCATGGTCCAATACGTAATTTTTCAAGGTTAGGCATCGCACCTTTGTCTATAATCATCAATTCCACTCCTTCAAAGCTACTGAGGACCAAAACTTTTAGTTTTGGAAACCAATCATCTTTGAAATGTAATTGCTCATCAAGATATGTGTCACGTAGCCTAAGTTCCAATAAATTAGGCAGAGCTTGAAGGACTCTTATGTAATCATCAATTAATCCTGACAAATCCAAACTAATTCTGACAAGATGTTCAAGTTTAAAAATCCAATCTAGCAGCTTCTTCATATTTCCTGTTAACCGAAGGCGCTGAAGACCATGAGGAGGAGAAGTCATCGATTCTATATTAAGAATTTCTTCTCTACTTATTAGTATAGTCAGAGATATAAGTTTTTCCAAATTTCCGATGCAAGCACATATATCCTTCTCGTTTCCATATGTGATCCAAATTGCGAACTTTCTTAGATGCCTTAGCTTTGTAAGCTCTTTGAGTACTTCGAAGTTAGCTTCCACATAACCTAGCCTCTGTAGATCCAATAAAGGACCAAACCCCGTAGGTATTTTTACCATTCCATAATACCAACCATTGTCCGAATGGTACGTCAATAGATAACGCAATTTCTTAAGATTCTTGATCTCAACATGAAGCTTAGTGATAAGAGAACGCTTCAAATTCAAGTTCTCCAAGTTGAGAAGCTTACCGATGGACTTGGGAAGTACTTTTACTTTCGTATTTTTCACACTTAAGTAGTGCAAATGGAAGAGGTTTCCCACTCCTTCAGCAAGATACTTTATAAGACTATCTTCAAAATCAAGTACTTTTACAAGTTTGAAATCCACAACAAGTGTAGTCATGAAAGAGTTAAGCAAACTATCAACATTGAAATGAGAAACAGAATGTATCTTTGAGTACTTAATGCTCTCAAGAGCACTATCAGTACTTTCTTGTATTGAAATGTGCCGAATTTTGCTAGAGAGATTTGAGTGTTCTCTGTTCACAAAATGAAAGAAGCCCAAATATTCAGCCTTTCTAAGGATAATCTCATGCATCAGATCATGGACTCGACATAATCTAGGTCTTCCCATGAAATCCGTGTCTACCACTTGAACCAAGCTTCTGTTAATGAGATCAATCAATAATTGTTCAGCAACTTGTTCAGATGTGCGGCTATTGGAATAAGGGACAAAGCCCTCAAAAATCCACAGGCGAATCAGTCTTGCACAATTGATTGAGTAGCTTTCTAGAAAAAAACCAAAATACAAGAGACAAGGTTTGAGATGGTAAGGTAGACCATAATAACCTTCTATTAAAACTTTGTTGCAATCTTTTAGATGAGAATCGCGTCCCAACTGTGGCCCCAACTCATCAAGTAACTTTTTCCATTCAAAAGCAACCTTGTTCTTGTTTGAGAGAAGACCGCCAACGGCAACAATTGCTAGTGTTAAACCTCCACATTTCCGAAGGATGTCACGAGACAATTTCTCCAACTCGGGTGGACAACACCCTTGAGGACCAAAAGCCTTTCTACAAAAAAGTTCAAATGCCTTATCTGAAGGCAAGGGTTGTAGCCTATGGACATTAACAAAAGGAATCACATCAACAATGCCCCTGTTTCTGGTTGTGAGGATAATCCTACTTCCTTTGTTGTTCTCAATTAAAGCATACTCTATATATCCCCAAAAATCAGTTGTCCACACGTCATCGAACAAAACCATGTAACACTTATCTTTTAATTGTCTCTCCAGTGCGGCGACCAGATCAGTCTCTTCCATTTTTTCCATCTCTCCATGAGTAGACCCTGTCACACCCATTTTGTCCATCTTTCCATGAGTAGACCTTGTCACATCCATTTTGTCCATCGTTGCTTGTAAGGTTTTTCTTAGTATATCCGTTTTGGTGCATCCTTTCCCAACCGTGATTCGAGCCTGGCAATCGAAATGCTTCTTCACTACATCATTCTTATAAATATTCCCGGCAAGAGTGGTCTTGCCAAGTCCTCCTTCGCCCACAACTGCAATCACCGAACGCTTGGATGTTCCACTCACCAACAAACCAATCAATTGGTCTCCAGTAGATTCGATGCCCACAAGTTCATCACCTGGGATGAAAAGGGAAGAAACTCGAGAATCGTGCGATACAACATCTCCTTGATCAATGGGCTTGAATTTATAGTATTCCGCACTTCTTTGTATATCAGCAAGTGATGATTTGATATGTTTAATCTCGGAGGAAATTCCATGATGCACCTTAAGTTCATTGACGAAGCAACACATTTTACGAAGGAAACTAGTGAGACCTTTGCCATCATGAACATGATGCTTTGCCTCATTAAGTATGTGCTCATCTATGATGTCTTCAAAGTGATAAGCTTCTTCCCTTACTTGTTTTACCCAAGTACTTACGACACCTCCATTGCTTTCTCCTTCTTCTTCGGCCGCTGCCCTTGTATCTGCATCCCTGAGGAAAGATCTGACGAACTCCAATTCTCTTTTGATGCTTTCAACTTCTTTCTTTACACTTCTCAACAGCTTGGTTTCCTGGACAAGCAAGGAACCCAATGTTTGTATAGCAAAGTTCACAGTAAACTCTGCCATATCTCGTAAGCTTTTTCTCGTTCACTCCATCTTAATTCTTAAGAGGTATGATCAAGTATACAATGTTTGATTGTTGTGTTAAGAAACCAGTGGGTTGGACACGATGGCTTTGTTGACTAGCTAGTAAAACTTTTGGGAGTTGACGATAAGAATTGAACGATGGTAGAGATTCTGTCCACACAAACCATTAAAATCTCATCGTTTGAATTGTAGAGAATCGAGATAGTTCATAAAGAGAGACAGGTTATAGGGTTGTAGCTTCCAAACTAAAAGATGCTTTTATTAATTACTGTTAAACCCTTCACCCTGCGTAAGGGCAAGGGTGGAGATGGGTCCCATATATCAAATCGACAAAGCTGCTTTATGATCATTCTAAAGAGACAGAGTTCACATGTGCCCAAGTCCCAAGTCTTGAGAGAGAGTGGTTTGCATTTTATTCATTATAAACAAAAGGTGCGATTCACAAATGTGCCTGCTTTGTTTGCGAGAATTCCTCAGATAAAATACCCCTAATCGTTTGTTTTGTAACTATTGCTATTTTTAATAGTTGATAACTAATAAGGACTTAAGTGTTACTTTCTCTTTGTATCGGACCTTATTTAGGACAAACTTTAGAGGTAAAAATGAATGAATTGAATTTTATCCTTTACTTTCCACACGCTGATCTCTTTTGTCAATAAAGAAAATCTGGTTGTCTTGCCTTTATTAATCTCATAATTAAAATGTTATTTAAAAGAGTAAGAAAGTTATGTATCACCAAACAAATGATGCTCAAAACGATAGACAAGACACAAGACCAGTGTGATCTCGAGTTTCTTTTTCAAAGCACAATACTACCATATATTAACCTTAGGCCATGGACCAAGTAACATCCACAGCTCCATCGTCAATGTTGAGCCCCAAAGCATCCCACACAGCATTAGAACCATCAACAATATTATTCCCACAAGGTGGCTGATACGCATGCTCTTCATCACATCCATTCACCGAGTCACACTCATCTACCACCTTCGCCATCACACTCCTTCCATTACTAGCCGTTATCTTTATCATCTTCCCACACCTCGACCCTCCATTATACCATCCCGTCGATAGCGCCACGATGGGCTCCGAGTTATCATGGTACTCGCCATCACACTTGGATGCACCTCCGCCATCACCGCCTTCGCTAAAATCATTGTTCGTTAATTTAGCGTTTGTTTGGGACGTGACGGTAGGAGAGCATGTGTATTGAGGATAAGTTTGGGCATTGCATGTGAGAGTGCCTGAGGACTGGCATTGACCGCTGGGATTAAGGGGGCTAGGGCTAGTGCAGATATGGGTCCCGACGTCGGGATCGTCGTTGCACTTGCCGTTGATGCAGATGAGTTGACCATCGCAGTCGTCGGGGGTTTGACATGGGCCGTTGCACTGAGAGATGGCATTCGAAAGTAATGGCAGGTTCATGATAAGAGAAAGAGAAGCTAAGAATAAGGTTGTGGTTGCCATGGTTAGCTTGCAATTAGCTTTAAGTTTAAGAGTTGGAGATTGGTGAATGAAGAGAGGGTTTCATTGAATTTAAAGAATTTTGGTGACCCGTAATTGGTTCAGAGTGTGGCCTAGTGGGTTGCACAAAAATTTGCGAGTGACCGCAATTTGTCCGGTCATCAGTTGACTCCAAAAGTCTTTGTGTTTGAGTCATGTACTCATGTTTCATCCTTCTTTAAATTTTATTTTAAAATATGAATTTAAGAAAATAAAGTAAAACTACATTTTAAAATTTTATATATTCAAGTTATTTCAATTTGATGTTTTAAATTATAAGGAATATTCAAAAAAATTTCGGTTTATGCTCTACTGTCTACTCCGAGTAAGGATCTGTCCAATTTTAGTTTGTACATGCAAGAATAATAGGACAATGATTTTTTTCAATTCATTTATGTCATGCTTCTGTTAAATGTTAAGTATTCATATTCAGTCCTTTTTGGATTCGATTGATTAATAGTTTAAGATCACTCATATTTTAATGAAATCGAATAGTTTATGATATAAGTAATAACTATAAATATATTACCAATTGGGTTTTTTAAACGGAGCCTGGATACTTCATTTTATTGGTCCAGCCAAGCCGACCATAAATTATTTTAATTGCTAATATTATATTAACATAGATAACTCGTCATAAATGGATCAATTTGCACTTCATTGCAAAGAGCCGATTCTCAATGCATCTAAGGCGGCAAGTCTTTGGCCTGTTTACTGTTTCGAGGTTTAGCGAGGGGCTGGATAGGCTAGAGAGGGCTAAATTTTCTTTATTGACATATCCTTTATTTAGCCCTCTGAGTAAAGAGAGGGCTAAATTTTCTCTTCCCAGGAAAAAATGATCCTTTATTTAGCCCCTGAGTAAAGAGAGGGCTAAATTTTCTCTTCCCAGGAAAAAAATGATCCTTTATTTAGCCCCTGAGTAAAGACAGGGCTAAATTTTCTCTTCCCAGGAAAAAAATGATCCTTTATTTAGCCCCTGAGTAAAGAGAGGGCTAAATTTTCTCTTCCCAGGAAAAAATGACGCTCGGGAATAGTTGTCATCACATTTATGTTCTAACATAATTAATTAATTTAATGTATTATAAGGGTTGATGTCAAATTTTTAGAGGAAAAGGTAAGAGGGGCATAGGGACACTATAATTCATTTTCTTTAGAAAACAGAGGAAAACAGGGCCACTGTTTTTGACTGATGTAAATGCAAGGGGCTTTGTAAAGTCGGAACAAATGAAAACAATATTTTTTATTTAACCAGGATAAACATAAATTTAACCTTAAGAATAATATTTGTCGCTTTATTATATAAAATTTTGTCCTTAATTATTTCTTTAGAAAAGACCAGGTATACTATTAGGCTCTTCAGTTTTAGTTTATCTCTCTCAAACTCTCATAGAATCATTCATAATAGTTTAATTAGGTATAAAACTATTTTATGTAGATGCAGTTTCATAGAAAAAACCAACTAAATATCCAGGGAAACAGGGTAAAACGGGGGATTTGTTTTTGACTGGCAGAAGGTGTTCCAAAAAAGGGCTGATACTTTCAAGTTTCATGGAAGTGGCCACCAACAAGCATCAAATTCAATACACCAAAACGACTTGTCTCGTGCTATAGACGCAATACAATTTCCAATTTTTACTTCAGAATTTCATTTCTAAAAACAAAAACACCGAATTCATTAATAAACGACTTGACTCGTGACATAGACGCAACTTCTTATTTTCTTCCTCCAATTCGGAAGCTCGTGAACTGTGATTTTATCATACAGTGATGGCAAGTGGACCAATTCAACAACCATCACCTACATGTAAACTGATTGAAACACTACGTGGCATCAAATAATTGGTCTCTTCATAAGTCTTTGATCACAAGTCAGTCATAAATGAAGGTTGATCGTACAGTATTGCATGGATCTAACTGTACCCAATCCTATACTTTGCCATTTAAAAAATGAAAATGATAATAACAGCATGACCAATTGGCATTTATAAGACGCCAACTTGCCACAGACACATAACGCGGCATTTTAGATTAGATTTTCCTCGTTGAATCGGTGTTTTTGTAATTAAACGTTTTCTAATAATTTATTTTTATGAAACATTTTTGTCTGGCGTTTTCCATCCAAGTCTTGTACTCTTGTCTACCAAATGCTAGTGTTACCAGAAGAATATTTCTTGAAGACAAAATTTAGATTAGAAGAGCTCATGATCATAGGAGATATGACAAGTTTCTTCATACAAGATGTTCAAAATGAAATAGTTGGATGGGAGAAATTTATGAGGACTTTGTTAAAAGGGAACAGAGGAAAACAGGGGACTCTGTTTTTGATGGGCCAAGCTTTCCTCAAAGGCTACAATTCATTGACCTCTTTATAGAAAGAGTAAACATAAAGGCCATTTTATAATATCTCAGCCAAACGTTACATATATTACTAAAAATAATTGTAAATATAGATAGATAGTTAAAATTGAATTATTTTGATACCAACCTAATATCGCCAATAAAATTTTGGTGACCGGATCCGTGGCTGTTGGTACTAGATTTCGACAATCGAAACTTAATCAATTAATTAAGGTAACTTTAAAAAAAAAAAGTTTTAAGTAAAATAAATTATAAGAATATTTTTATTTAAGTTTACTTTTATTTATAATTTTTTTTATTTTACAAAATTATATTTTTTGTATTAAGTGAAAAGTCAAAACACACCCAAAGTCATAGCCATGAAAAAATTAAAAGATTTTTCCTTTTATAGTTGGACAGGAGATATAAAATCAAAATCACACTAAGTCTTATATAATTTAAATGGAATACCTATTGTTCATTACTTCGCTCCACTGCTTCAATCTATTGATCAAAATCAACAGACGAGAGAGACAAGAGATACTTAGTAGTTGTACAAACTTTGTTTCTTGCTTGCATATAAGTGATGTAGACTTTCGGTATATGTCGGGTAACTTTCTTCCACTTCTTGTCTTTTATCATATGGTAAATTTCTTTCAACATAAGAAGAAACCAAAGAATCCTTAGGTTTCTTAGAGGCTCAATTCCAATTGGAATCTCTTTAAATCGAGGGCATGGTCCAATACGTAAGTTTTAAAGGTTAGGCATTGCACCTTTGTCTATAATCATCAATTCCACTCCTTTAAAGTCAACGAGGTCCAAAATTTTTAGTTTTGGAGACCGACCTTCTTTGAAAAGTAATTGCTCATCATGACTTGTGTCCCATAGCCTAAGCTCCAATAAATTAGGTAGGGCTCGAAGGACTCTCATGGGATCATCTGTTAATCCTGAACAATCCAAACCAATTCTGACAATATATTCAAGTTTAAAAATCCAGTCTAGTAGCTTCTTCATATTTCCTTTTAAGTGATGGCATTGAAGACCATGAGGAGGCGAAGTCATCGATTCTATATCAAGAATTTCATCTTTACTTGTCAACTGTATAGTAAGAGATACAAGTTTTTTCAAATTTCCAATGAAAGCACATAGATCCTTCTCATTTCCATTTGTGATCTTAATTTCTAACTCTCTCAAATGCCTTAGCTTCATAAGCTCCTTGTGTTCCTTAAAGTCAACTTCCACCAAAAATAGCTTCATTAGCTCCATTAAAGAACTAAACCGCTCAGATATTTTCACTGCTCTTCTATAACTACCATACTCGCCTGATTTGTATACCGCTAGATAGCGCAATTTTTTTTTCAGATTCTTGATTTCAATTGGGAGCATACTCACATGAGATTCTTTCAAATTCAATATCTCCAATTTGAGAAGCTTGCCAATGGACTTGGGAAGTACATTTACTTTTGTATTTTTCACACTTAAGTAGTGCAAATGGAAGAGGTTTGTCACTCCTTCAAGAAGATACTTTATAGGACTATCTTCAAAATCAAGTACTTTATAAGTTTGAAAGCCACAAGAAGTGCAGTCATGAAAGAGTTAGGCATCCTATCAACATTGAAAAGAGAAACGGAATGTATCTTTGAGTCCTTGATGTTATCAAAAACACTATCAGTACTTCCTTGTATTGAAATGCGTCAAATTTTGGTAGAGAGATTTGAGTGTTCTCTGTTCAGAAAATGAGAGAAGCCCAAATATTCGGTCATTCTAATGATAATCTTTTGCATCAGATCATGGACTCGACAATAGCTAGGTCTTCCAATGAAATCCATCTCTACCACTTGAACCAAACCTCTGTTAATGAGATCAATCAAGAATTCTTCAACAACTTTTCCAGATGTGCGACGTTTGGAATAAGGGACAAAGCCCTCAGCAATCCATAGGCGAATTAGTCTTGCACAATTGATTAAGTCGCTTTCGGGAAAAAAAAAAAAAACCAAAATACAAGAGATAAGATTTGAGATGGTGAGGTAGACCATAATAACCTTCTAATAATACTTTGTTTCAATGTTTTAGATGAGAATCGCTTCCCAACTGTGACACTAAGTCATCAAGTGACTTTTTCCATTCAAAAGCAACCTTGTTCTTGTTTGAGAGAAGGACACCTACAGCAACAATTGCTAGTGAATAGTGGATTTGATCCCGAGAATGTTGTTTATCAAACTCTTTAAGTGTTGGATTGTTTTGGTTTGGCAGTAAATGTATACAGATATGATGAATAAGAAAGCTAAGATTGAGGAACATGATGCAAATTTACTTGTGTATTGTGTATCAACGACGTCGTCCACTGCCTCTTCTTGCTTTTGAACCACCACTTGATCATGTCTTGCATGAGCCACGCCGGTCTACTACGGTTTCTCGGCCTCCAAATTGGTATGGGTTTTCTTCTTTCGCTCTTCAGGCTACTCTTAATGCTACTTTGTGCCTAAGTCTTATTCTCAGGCTTCTACTCAAATTTGTTGGCGCCAAGCTATGCAGGATGAACTTCAGGCTCTTCAGGACAATCACACTTGGGACATCGTCCCTTGTCCTAATGGAGTTAAGCTTATTGGGTGCAAATGGGTATACAC